GATTTTGTCAATGCCAATAAAATGCCAAATAATCATACTTAACTCGTTAAATACTGGAGTTAGAAGAAAAATGCATAGAATCTTTCTTTGTAGAGGACGTCAGTGCCTACAACTCCTGTGTAAAAAAATTTTTGCTAACGTGAATAATTAACCGGTTCGCGATTACGGACGATATTTCATCCGTATCGAAAAAAGTTCAACGTAAAAAGTTTAACGTAGTCATAAATTATTGGTAACGTCTAACAGTGGACTGACTAACGTACGATTCTTATCATTGTAAAACAATTTCGTGAATCGCGTGAGTCAGTCCCACGACTAGCTGTACGTTTTATTTCACGAACGTCCAGCTTCGAGCTGGGCGTTAATCGAGCTCTCGCGGGACCCTAATACTAATCATTAACCTTGGCTTTTCTCGGCTAGAAGCTAATTCGATTATCGCTCGACGAATAACATCCCTTCACTGTGTGTATCGGGGATCTGACCCTATTTGCTAACCGGGGATCACGATAATTGCCTGTATTTTAATAGACCTCGTAATTTCCACCGCGACGTTTTTAACAATCAGGCTAAATGGACGAACGATTGCGTCGATGTACGTAAATATGATGGAAGTGGGCTTTCATTGAAATTGACACGACAATAAACGAAAATAAATTTGAATGAAACGAATGAATAAATATTTGATTGAAAACCTAAAAGTCCATGCAAGATCTTAATAGAATTAAAATAATAAGAAAGAGTCCAATACTCGAATGTGCAAAAATAATTTTTGCACAGCTAGAGTGTATTCATAAGTAGTGAGAAATCATAGAAAGAATGTTTTAACATAATCTGTATGAAACGTGTATTTCTGATGCCTGTTACAATTTTTAAATTGTATTCACGAGAGAGAAATCTGGGGGATGAGACAGTTGAAATTTGTCGGAACCTTCACGGGCCGAATATTTCAAACCCCGTCCCGGCCTGCGTCACTCCGCGCCCCGTTCTCATCCATTTTCCAGTCTTTTGTTGGAGTCTCAGTTACCGGAACCGCGAAACCTGCTTAACGTTCGCGGGGTGAAAAGAATCCGGAAAAACAGGAAGTGGCCGACGGGAGAATGGAGAGAAATGGTTATTATGACCGTCGTTCATCTACTATTTTTGGTACCCACTGAAAACGCTTGGTTCGTTGTCATCATGCTGCTCTTAATGATTAAGAATCAGCCAAGCGGATGATTTGATCTCCAATACTGTCTACCGTTTAGAATTAAAAAATTGTGCTAGTGCTCCTAGCATAAAGTAGAACGAATGAAAAGCATTTAATTTCAAATTCTTATACTATTGATCGATGCTTTGGTTTCGTATTATATTCCAACTTGTATACAAATAAAATTGTCTTATGTATCAGTAATCAAAAATAGAAGGACAAATGTTGAATGTTTGATGAACACGTTTATAAAAAAACAGTAGTCTATATAAAAAAAAAGACATGGTTTGCAATAGAGAAGATAGGATTTGTCTATGAATCCTGAAGGAGAGCTTAGAAGGTAAAGAATTTGAATTCGGGTCGATGCCGGAACGAGTCTTGACAAATACATCTTTTGTTCTGGGCAAGACAGTCTCTCGAATTGAAGAGGCCCACCTAGCCTCGTATTGCCACGATAATTCTACGTTCATTTGCAACCGTTAAGGTTTTCGCTCCCTCTTTATAGAACAAGACCTATTAATGTTATACAATAAAAGTTTTCATCTTGTACGAGTGTTTAAAATCTGTAATTGTCTACCAATACATTTGTTTTATCA